GAGGAGCACGTGAAGCAGCTTGAAGAGCTGGGCCTTGTTTGGAATGTACTTGATGAGCGGAGGGAACATGCGTTGCGAAGATTGGCAACCTACAAATCTGAGCATGGAGATGTGAATGTACCCTGGGCTTATGCGACGGATGAGGGGTTCAAGCTTGGAATTTGGGTGGCCAGTCAGCGCGCAAAGAAGTCTAAAGGGAAGCTTCCTGAAGAGCAAGAGAAGCAGCTTGAAGAACTGGGCTTTGTTTGGAGTGTGTTTGATGAGACGTGGAAGCACACGTTGGAAAGACTGGCGACCTACAAATCTGAGCATGGAGATGTGAATGTGCGCTCAGCATATGTGACAGATGACGGTTTCAAACTTGGATTTTGGGTGGCCAGTCAGCGGAGAAAGAAGTCTAAAGGGAAGCTTCCTGAAGAGCAAGCGAAGCAGCTTGAAGAACTGGGCTTTGTTTGGAATGTGCTTGGTGAGCAGAGGGAACGCGCGTTGCGAAGATTGGCAAATTACAATCTTGAACATGGTGATGTGAATGTGCCCTGGGCGTATGTGACGGATGACGGCTTCAAGCTAGGAGTTTGGGTGGCCGGTCAGCGCAGAAGCAAGTCCAAAGGACAACTTGCCGAGGAGCACGTGAAGCAGCTTGAAGAACTGGGCCTTGTTTAGAATGTGCTTGGTGAGCAGAGGGAACGCGCGTTGCGAAGATTGGCAAATTACAATCTTGAACATTGTGATGTGAATGTGCCCTGGGCGTATGTGACGGTTGACGGTTTTAGTCTTGGAATTTGGGCCAACTATCAGCGGACAAACCAGGCTAGCGGCTAAAGGAAACTGACCGAAGAGCAGGTGAAGGAGCCGGAAGAATTTGGCTTTGTGTGGCAGGTGTATGATTTGCGTTGGGAAGAGATGTGTGTCAACGTCTCGTGACCTAGAGTTCTGAGCATGGAGATGTCAATGTGCCGCAAAAGTATGTGACAGATGGCGGGATCAGACTTGGACTTTGGGTGCACAACCAGCGCAGAAAAGAGTTCAAAAGCAAACTCACGGAGGAGCAGCTTGGCTTTGTTTGGAGCCTGTGACCAAGCACGAGTAGATGCAGAGTCTTTGACAGAAACTTGCAGGTCGCACCATTTCACACTGAGGTTGGCGGCACAAGTGCTTAGTGACATAGCAAGTCCCGCTCTTGAAAACTGGGGAAGTTGGCGGATGCACCTGGGTGCCTGAATGCATAAGGGTTGGCATGTTCCTCGCTAGTTCTGTACCAGTCCGGTGTTTATGCATTGTGCGAGTCAAGTGTACATTTATACATTGTTACATTGATGTATCCTATGCACTATCCATGATAGTATGTGTTTAGCATCGAAGATGTGCTGCAATGCTGTTGGCATGCCAGAACTTGATGAGTTGTCTCCAAACAATGCAACATGGCTAACGGTCCCTTGGCTGTAAGGAAATCCACGTAGAAATGCCATGAAATGCCCTACCAAGTCGAATCCCACCAACGGCGACTGGGTTTGGATGGACAACATGGGTAGAGGCAAAATAATTCTTCCTCATGAGTCTATGTTTGTTGTGGGGAGAGGACTGATACAAAACAAACAAACAACAAGTTGCCAGCTAAGGCCCACCTTGCACGGAGCTGCTTTGCATTCACATGCGTCCACGGCGATAGCCAGGGAGGTGTGGATTCCTACTTAGCTTTGACTTGCTGCGCGATGCGCTAGGTCATTCACGTCACCCGTGGCAATATCTCGACTTGGCCTTAGCGTTTACATTCTTCGGCGCTGTAAGGGCGGACGGGACTAGGTGTGAGATAGGCAACCACGAGAGCGTTCGCTCAATTTGCAGCTCCGAAAGGTTGCACAATCGACGGTTTTGTCCTTGTGCTTGGGATTTCAATTGGCTCAATTAGGGCTTATAAGGAATTGTAAGTCAACCGTCCAATTTTGGATTCTCATCCCGTGTTTAGGGAGAAATCCGCCGGCATCTCAATTCGTTTGTGAATCCCCTTGGGGCCAGGCACAAGCCTCTCCATCCTCCCAGCCTGTGCTCGCGGAAGGCAGCGTATTTGGGCAGCCTGAGGTGTTTCAGCATGTTCATTGGTGTGAGCGGCATAGCTTGGAGTCAAATGCAAGTCTCTTTGTTTAAGTGTTAATTGAGTTCAATCTACGGATCACAATTTCAAAAGAAACTGCTGCTAGGGTGAGGTAGTGGGAATTGGGAATGCCTGAGTGGAACCCAATCATTGAGCTCATGTCCAAGACCGGCAACCTTAAAGATGATACTGGGTCAGACACAACACATATTTGACCTTCAAACCTGCTTCAATTTGTGCGGGTTCTGCAACTCTTGATGATTTTGGACGGTTGTGTTGTGTTTTGGCCATCTCACTTGAACTCACTTGAAGGCGGATCAAAGCACTCCGCTTCCTCTTCGAGCCCTTCTGGGCCTGCGACACTGGCAGAACACTGGGCCGCCTGGCAGAAGCACAGAACCCTTTGGTGGGTTTCCCTCAGCTTCCAATTGAGAAACTCACCTAGGGCTGCCGAGACCCATGTGTGCTGGCGTTTCTATGGCGTTTCTTTTTCCACCAGTCGCTCTTTCTTCTTGTTGTCACTCGGTTTGGGTCACAAAAGCCACGCCCGTGCTCTCTTTGCTCCCAGGTTATGATCACCATCGAGTAAACCCGTTTGGACGTGGCTTGTTGACCTATAATATCGGGGGCACTTAGAGCAGCAGTAGAATTTGTTGCAATTTCGTTCAGCAGAGATGCTCGATTCTTATTCCACGGAACTGTCGAAGCATTAGCTTGTGACCTTCTTACCATAAATACCTGTGAAGACATTCTGCCACACTGCGCTACCACATTCAAACATACCCCTCCATTCCCCTCCCCAATTTTCAGTACCATCATCATCATCATCATCATCATCATCATCATCATCATCAAGCTCCCTGCCAACCACTCCCACCACCGCACCCACATTACACACCACACGGTAGTGCCACCGCTTCCACTGCCCACCCAAGGCTCGGCTGCGGCGGCAGACGCGGGACGAGGCACTGGAGCTGAGCTTGGAGCGGCGCCAGGACAAAGGCATTTGGCGGCTCGCCGCAGGCGGGGAGTTGAGACAAGAGGAGCAGATGAGTACAGAGGCGGTGCATTGGTGGCATCATTTTCTATCATTTTCTTATATGTTCTTGGGAACTGATGATTACAGAGGTGGTAGTAGAGGTGGTACCAATGTGGTACCATTGTTTGTATTGTTGTGCCATTAGGCTTGTTGGAAAGGCATAACAAGCCGGTTGTTTGGATGCACTGCGGCAATGGTGACCGGCCACACATGTTGTCGTAGGAGAATTAAGAGTTGCTTGTTATGGCATGCCACACGAACTGTGGGTCTTGATGGGCCTTCAGTGTGGTGGGTGAGCAGTGCCGGCGATTGGTTCCAAACCTTTGGCAGGCGAAGGCCTGGACTGGCAGCACATTCGCAACGAGTTCTACACTGCGCAAGTGCAGTCCTTCGCAGAGGCCACAGTGGGCTACATGGATGGTTGGTTGCAATTGTTTTGATCGACACGGAGAGGACGGCAGCTGAGAGTTGTCAGTTTTGGGGTTTCTAACGAGGCTTTTATATAGATTGCTTCAGGTCGTTGGAAAGGGTGGCCTGGCAAAGGATTGGCAGCATGTTTGCATGCAAACTTGTGAACATGGAGCATCATGAAACACCATGCAGCAGGGAGTTTGCCAATGGCAGGTTAGCCTCGATGACTGCATTGATGCTCATGCGGCTTCCAGACAAGAAGGCGGCAAAAGATTGGGTTTGGAATAGGAAGCTTACCCATACCTTCTAGTGTTCCAATTTTGTCTAGACCGACTGCAGCAATACCTGTTCTGCAGCAATCATTGATTTCTTTGAGGTTCATGACAGGTTGACTGCCAATTTGCAATTCCTCTTTCTTTGTCCTACTATAAGCCATGCTGCACGAATTTCAGAAGCCAGCAAGATGTCGAATCGGAATGGAGAAGGCTATGGATCTCCCACCAAAGGAACGCGCGTTTGCACAAGTGAGACGGGGACAACAAAACAACAAAATCCTCATCACCACTAGCAACAACAGGAAGATTAAGATGGAAGAAGAACAAGATGAATAATAGTAAGCAAGTGTAAGAACTGAAACCAACAAGACCGAACAATTGTGCTGGAAACGTGTCCTTGTCGCACCGCCAGGTCTTCGGCTGTTGGATCTGGGCTGCGGTGTTGGCGCTTTGTTGGCCCGTCTCAGGCCAGCAATGGGTGTCGCATATCAGTTGTTGGATCATGAAATGTTTTGGCAAGTGCGGCACGTATGTATATTATGTATTCACTTAATTTGATAACAGGAGACAACAGGAGTCACAAAACACTTCAGTGCACGCAACCAGAATCAGCACACACAGATCCCCGACCACTGCCATGGACGGTTCCGACGAGGCGTGAGCGTGGTGAAGTCATTGACTGGCCCTGCACTGCTGGAGTGACCTCGGTGCATCCCTTCGACGTCTCCATGTTTACGCCACCAGCAGGCGTGGAGGTGGTGGGAGTGTAGGTGTGTGGTTGGTGCTTGAATGTGCTTGATTGGGTGGATGGTGGGGGTTGACAACTAGTGGGTGCGTGGTTGATATTATGTACCCTCGTGGGCGTTTAGTTTGATGTGTGGGGTGCTGGGATGGTGGATGTTTTATGATAAAGCTTCTGATTTGTGACAGTCTTGGAAAGTTCTGTTGCCCACACACCTTTCAGGACTTGGGATGTCCATCTCACGTTTTGCCCATTGTTGGGGGGGAAACACGTTGGATGCTTGGTGCGGGTTGGTGGGGGGGGGTTCGCTGGAAAGGTTACCCGGAGTTCTTTGAAGCGCAGTTGCTCCGTTTCAACCTGGACTTCCTGGCGGATCACGCTGACACGCCTGCCGTGCCTTGGTCGAAGCAGGGGGCAGAGGAAAACTGATTTTGGTAGTTGATAAGTTGATAGGGTGAGCCGTTTTTCGCGACTTACTCGTACCTTTCATAGAGGCATGTTCATAATCACCTTAATGGTTGCCACATCTTACAGACCAGTTGTCATGCAGACCTGTTCACGGTTGATCACAACGGCTTTGCTAGCAAAAGTCCGCCTCTTTGTGTCTCAAAGCTCGGATCTTGCCATCCCCCTGCCGCAGTTTGCCAACGGATTTGAGGATCTTGCGGGAAGGCGGTTTGATCTCATCACCTCGCACTATTGCAGCTTGGCATGGGCTATTTTGAGCGTGGAGGACCATCGTGGCAGATGGGATGATCAAGTTAATCAAGTTATACTGATTTGTGAAGAGCGTTCTATAGATACCTCGATATGGATCCAGGCAAAGAGCCTGGCAGACGATTGCTGTAAATGCATGACAACACCAGATTGCATGACAGAATATGGCAAACTTTGAAGAACGGACAAGAAAGCACTGAAGAAGAGATGCAAACTATCACAAGACACCAACCACTGTGGCAAACACAAATCACCCCGACAAGTGCAAGCAAGACTCTACCTCTATGACCTAAGAATCGCTAATCACACGGACATGTTTCGGAAAGAGTGTTGCAAGCTAGTTGTTCTAAGGTTGGTGTCACCTCCAAGATCCCTTGGGAGCCTTGG